AGAAAGGCCTCATTATGACTGCAGTAAGGCTGTCATTTATTAGAAATGCCATAAGACATCTTGACCATCATTTAGTAGCAGGTGTTCCTTTGAAACTGTCCTTACAATGCCTTTTTCTTTGGGGGAGGGATAGTCTTGTGGCAAGTTGGACTGGTCATCCATAAGACTAGTAGCAGACCGTTGCTATACTATTTGGAATCAGAAAAAACAGTGTAGGCTATTTATTTGTCGACGCTTGCCTCTTTAAAAAGTATTAAAAAATGCATGATTTTTACTCAATCTATTTTCTTTTTAATTTCTAATTCTTGAAAATTTATTTTTGATGACTTCAGCATCTAATTATACGTCTTTTTAGCTATTACTTTACATCAAGTTTGAATAATGCTAAGCCTTTTTCTTTCATCGGATAAAACCTGGGAGTTTTTAAGCAGACTTGACAAGGTAGCTATATTCTACAATAGCTAGCCAAAAATTTCTGAAAGGTTGGTTACAGCGTGTCAACTGTAAGTGATGGGCACATAAAGCCTATAGTGTTGCAAAGATCAGCTTTATTTGTGATTTCCGTATTTAAAGAACAACTACAATAATTTATATACATAATTCCTTTGTTTGATTTTTAAACCCCTGAATGTTTCTCAATGTATGATGGTCATAATATTAATTTGTTGCTACAAATAAATATTCCAGCAGGAAAAAAGCACATTTTTTATCATTTCTATACATACCCAGTTTTGTTGAGATTTATAAAACCCGATTAATTTTCCTTATGAAATATAGTTTATTTTAACATCAAACAATTGTGATTTCTGGAGTTAAAAGGCTATTTCATTAATCAAGCAAAAATTTAAGCAAATTTATTCATGGAATCTGTTAAGAAATAAGAAGTAAAGGACCTAGCTTTGTCCAGCTTCACGTACATGTCACAAAATTTTTATTTATGTTGAAGATGAAACTCTGAATAATATTTTGCAAAATGCGAACCAACAGAATTTTGAAGATTATTTCCTAAAAGTCAGTTACTTTAGAACATATCGTCGCTTTGAAACTAAGCCGTTATAACTCAAAAAAAATCACCCTTTTAGAGAAGCAACGTGTTATCTTCATAGTTCCATAAAATTAATTTAGAGAGCAGATAAATAGTTATCGCAATTAGCATTAGCGCGGAAAGTTAAAAATCGCTCTCCTGAAAAACTTGCTTTTTTTAGTTACCACGGTTTAGTTTCAAAGCGACGATATATTGTGTCATATTAAATGTAATATGTTAATTACTGTTAGCTGCTATCATAGATCCCTTCAGGGATCTTCTTTTATCATTTATTCACATATCTTATGTATGAGCCAAACTAGTGTTCTTTTATGTACAATATTTGAACTCTATGTTAAGAAAACTAATTTACACTTATAGATACATAGCTGCCAACTGTTCAAAATTTTTCGGATTTGTTCCTAATTTTTAAATCTAATCTGAAATTCCGATATTTTTATAAAAAATCAGAATTTTCATAAAATTTTTGATTTTAAACCAATCCCTTGTTCTGATCGCCACCAGCACGCATCCTGTGATTATTGTGCTAAAGTAATTTTTAGTAGCTTTTTATTGGAGAATACTAATCCAATAGCTGTATTTCACTAAATTATTATTTTTTGAACATTTTTTTTGTAGTATTTAAACACTTGCATCAGAAATATTTGTTTATGATGTAGATTATTATTTACNATCTTCATAGTTCCATAAAATTAATTTAAAGAGCCGATAAATCGTTGGCGCGATTAGCATTAGCGCGGAAAGTTAGAAATTGCTCTCCTGAAAAACTTACTTTTTTGAGTTTCCACGGTTTAGTTTCAAAGCGACGATATATTGTGTCATATTAAATGTAACATGTAAATTACTGTTAGCTGCTATCATAGGTGAAAACGTCTTATCATAAATCCCTTAAGGGATCTTTTTTTATCATTTATTCACATATCTTATGTATGAGCCAAACTAGTATTCTTTTATGTACAATATTTGAACTCTATGTACACTTATAGATAAACACACATATATTTG